TTTCATTAAACTAAAGAATTAATTACTTTTGATTCATACAGAATGAACCAAATCATAGGCCGGCTGCAGCAGGTAATAATAATGCTTGAGCTAGCCCCCTAGGGAAGCGTAGGGAATTTTTGTTCTTCCATAATATTCCACAGAATAAGTTATATCTTAAATTATTTTGATCTAATTATTATTCTTATATTAAAATAGTGTAAGATACAAAAGTCTCACTTGAGGATATTTTAAATAACAATTCACAGGATTCCCTTAGAGTTCTAAAAAGTCAGTTTTCCAGATAATTGAGTATTTTTCTAGACATTTAAAATATTTTAAATTTACATTAAGAATTATATCCTCTAGAAGAGTTCACTGTGGTAAGCAAAATAAGCCAAATTCAGAAACATAGATATTACATGTTTTCTCTCATATATAGAATCTAGACTTATTTTTAAAAGGCATAAAAATAGGAGGGGATCGTTTGGGAACAGGAAAGGAACCATGAGGACAACCAATGACAGTATGTCATGGGTGAATATGATCAAAGTGTGCTTCATGCATGTGTGAAAATGCCACAATGAAATCAATTATTTTATACAGTTAAAATACACTAATAAAAATAAAACACATCAGTTAGAAAGAGGTTTTTTAAGTTCTGAGAAGCAATAAAGTATCGGATATAAATTTGCCAGTTGAGGATAACGATCAGCAGTATGTTGATTAAATGATATTTTTGTTCCTTTAAAGTCTCTCCCTATGCATTTCCAGCTTTAAAAAAATACATCAGGATATATCATAATGTGGTTTTATGACTTCTTATATTCACTTATATATATTAGACTGTTTCTCAACATTAGTAGTTAGAATTTTACTATATAAATTTAATGGCTTAACATGTTAAGACTAATAAACACACTTTACTCTGTTCCTATATATCTGAGAAATTTCCTTTTTATGTACTTTCATAATAATGTTTACATTCCCAAGAGCTCCTTCCATATTTAAGTCTGCACTGATGGTCCCACATGGCTCTGCTCCTCTAGAGCTCAGCCTTACATCTAGCTCTTTCTTTCTCTCACTGTCAGATTTCTAGATAAAGCTGATCAAGTCTGAATAAAGTTACACTTGCTGTTTCCATTTCTGGACTAATAAAATGGCAGATTTTTTCCAATGATGAGTAAAATGAATACTTTTAAATTCGATCACATCTATAAGTACTTAGAGATTTTATCTGACCAGATGGTGTTACTGTTCTTCCTATCAGACTTTTATATGAGAAGTTGGAAGGGAAAAGAATGCTATTACACATGAGGGGCTCAGACTAAGAACTCAGCAGCCCATTTCTCTTTCGAATTTTATGCTGCTTTGATTCCATGAAGTTTCTGTAATTTACTCTTTTGTTGTATATTTCACTTGCCGTGCGTTGAGACCAGTGCACTCCGACTCCCTGAAACCATGTTGTAAGTTTTCTTTAGGGAGCCATAAGTTAAGAACACAGTCTGTTAACTCTGCCAGTTATAGTAACGTGATTCACTTGGGGACACAAGTCCATTGTCTCTCCACCTGCTCCTCTGCAAGGAAAAGGTAAAGAGAGAACGGAAAAGGAAATGAAGGAAGTAGGAAAGGAGAACAGATGGAGGAAAAAGAGATAGAGATGAGGAAGGTACGCTATGGTGTCTCTGAAATTGAAATAGTACAGAAAATTAGCACTAACATATTGCCATGTATTACTTGGGTATCTTATTTCACTATTAACTTATAAAGTTTAGGATTTCATGGTGCTGTATAGTAAAAATCTTTAGAATTTTATATTCAGTTGTGGCAATCAGTATTGAGAAAGCATTGTTAAAATGCATGTGAAATTATTATTTTCATTTATCCAATTCTGTAAATAATTAATTTTGATCACTTGAAAATCACTGCCATATTTTATGCATATAAATGCATTCAAGTTTCTGTGTGATATTAATAGCTAATGTGTATAGTTGATTGACACTAAGGGAATATACTATTTCTTGCATATTTTCTGGACAGGGAATCTGACAAAATATGAACAGGCATATACAAAAGCTGATAGAGAGAGGAAGGCTCCAATCAGCCTGAAATTCAATCAAAGGATCTTGATTACAAACTTTTTTCTTCACTATAAAAATATTATCATTAAATCTTCAAGGAATCAGCACAACTTAAAATCTGGATGTGTCCCCATGAATCACTTCTTTTGATGGAATATAAAAACAAACCTTTTATAAACTTAAAATCACAAATAATAAAAACGAACTTGCTCAGCGAGACATCATAAGCATGAATGAATAAAGTTATAGTCACTGATACACAGTAACCTGCCATAAATATATTACATGGTTTATAAGTTCTTATCTACAAAGGACTAAAAGGATTTAGTGATATATGAGGCAGATTCTTTTGAAATCAAATCCTGAATTTTCAAAATGAAGAGAAAAGATAACCCTAAAAATGGAAAGGAAACATGGAGGTAAAGGAAAAGAAAGAACCTGAAAGAGGGTGAGAGTAGGGAACAGGTGTTATCTGTGCGGGAGGTGGCGAAAGTGGGAGTGTATGGCTCGGAGGGGAGGAGGGAGGGACATGCAGAGGCCCACCGTGGGGAAGGACGGAACTCAGGAGAGGGGAGATGGCAGGAGGTGGGTGTTATTTGGAGGTGGGGAGGGAGGGGATAATGGGTACTTTTGGACTGAGGAAGCAGGAAGGAGTTTAGATTTTGGGGAAAGTAGAGATGAATGGATTTTGGGGGGCAATGGAAGCCAGAGAGAAATGTGTTGCCTCTGAAACCCCCTGAGAAATGCACATATGGTACCTGAACATTAGTGCATATGTATACCTGGGGATTGTACGGCAAGGAACACAGTGCCAGACAGGAGAGACTTCCCTTCAAGTGGTTGAGAGTGGTCCAAGAGTCTTCCAAAGTAACACAGGCTATTGTGAGAGCTCTTGATTATCTCCCAGTCTTGGAAGACAAGACCCTACTGTTGAAGAGGACATACTTTGGACAGAGGACTTGGAGCAGTGGAGCAGGAACTGATCTGGAAGCCTTCTACCTGAAGTTTAACTCTCATAGTTCTAGAGGATACTATGCAAGCTGCTAAGGGAGAAAATCAATCAATGGTCCAAACCAATCCTAAAGTATAATAATCATAATGAGCAGCAGAGCAAACTATCTCTACTGGTGCAGTAGTGGCACTGTTATCTGGGGGTAATCAACAGCTATCTAATTGGATGTAAAGCCCTCTCAATGGGAGTGAACTCATGGGTGGCACTATAAACACAGCCAAATACACACAGCTGGAGAGGTCACAGATCCTAGAGAAAACCCTGTCTCTGTCATATCTCTAGGCAAATGTAATTTCTTAGTATGTGCTAAATATGGAAACTTATTTTTGCAGACAAGTATACCATACCATATACCACTCATCAAAGAAGTTTTTTGCAACAGGTGGAGGCTACTGCAGAACCCCATAGTTGTTTAGACACAGAGAATATTCGTCTGAGAGATGCCCAGTCCTAGGTAGCATATCTACAGTGGAACCTCTACACCTAAGACTCATGGAACATAGCAGAATGGGGGTAGAGAGAAAACTAGTTCATCCTTCAACTTTTACCAGTGAAGCCTCCTTAAACAACAGAGTGCAATGCATTCAAAAGGCCACAACTGGCCAACTTTTAAAGAATAAGAAATCGCAAGTGTGTGTCTCTGGATAAGACTCCTATATCAAACCTCCCCCACCCATGGTCAGGGACCATTGTTGAAGAGGGGGTGGAAAGACTGTAAAAGCCAGAGTTGGTCCATGAACATAGCAAAACAGACGCTTTTGGGCCACTGGAAGCTGGCACATAAGAACTTATGGCAATGGTGGCACCCAGCACAGGACCCATGCCAACTCAATTAGACAAGGGCCCAGAGTGGAGTGAGGGAAATGGGTTGGCAGGTTAGTCCCCCTAGTCTGGGAACTATTGGAGACTGATCACTACTGGATGAGGGAGAGTAGGCCATACCAATGATTTCTAGATAAGCTGACTAGACTCCAGGGGATGAATTTATACTGAAGGACATTTGTGTACAAATGCTTGACTAGATAGGACTTAACATGAGGTATGGTGGGAGGTGGGAGTGGGATATGGATGGGACAGAGGGTCTAAATTTGATTAAGAACTATTGTATAAAATGTACAAAAACTCAAGAACCATTTTTTAAATGCAAAAATTCTTAGTCAATCCTGAATGAACTCACTAGTTTTTGTCTTCTAGACATTTCTTATAGCTAGACCCAATAACCCTGAATATCTAAATAAATGAAAGCCTTATATGGGTCAGAGTGACAGCTAAGGAGGCAATGAGGCTCTCATTGAAGGGAGATGTAAATTAGTTGATCATATTGATGATTTAAAAAGGAATATTAATGAAAATAATTTAATTGGAGAGATAAAAAGGAAGTGATAATTAATCAGTTTTATGCTAAAATCACTCTTTACTTACTCTTGTGGTTAAAGGAAATAACATAAAACCCCAAGTTTAACATAAAGTTTGTAAATGGAACATATATTACTTTCAATTCCAGCTTCAGTTTCTTAAAGGCCCAGAAGCAGCTGCATCAGGATCCCTAGGAAGGGCTGAATTATTGTAGAAATTCAGAATCCTGCACTGTCTTCCAGCCCCAAGAAATCTAAGCCTCTGAAATACACTTAGGAATCAGCATTTTAAAGCCCCTCCTCTCACCCTCCTGTGGCTCTTGTGCACACTAAAGTTTGAGAACCACTGTAAACCATGCTTTTTACCATGAAATGGATTGTCACGTAATCAAGATTTCTATTCTCTTTCTTCTGCTTTCATCTGAATGACATACAGCAAGTGCATGTTATTTACTTCCTGGTTTTACTGTGGAACTGCACAAAAGTAGCCTCTTCCATTTTTGGTTTTGTACAGTTTTAATTAACACAGCATTAGCTTTCAATGTAACTAAGGACTACCCAAGTTTCACTTACCTTCACATCTTTATGCTTATCCAGAAAGTTCTGAACATGCAGAGACTTTCAGGAAGACTACAAAGTGGGCTCTCTGGTTTTCAAGGATGTGCTGACCAGGCTCCTGAGGTGAACAGCAGAAACTCATGAAGAGAAGCCACCAGTGCTCAAGCCAGTGGGTCCCTGGTTATCTCTAAACAGAACAGAAAAGCAGAGAGTTGGTCAGATAGTATTATCACCAGAATCTACCATGGAGACGGTTATTTTCAGTAAACCAGCAGTGTTACTAAATTTAAACCTGGCTAAGGCTTGCTGCTCCCGATTTAGCATACTTGTCATTTAAAATTTCATGTCATTGTGAAGTCAGAATCACAGGATGACGCTGCCTGCAGAGAAGTCTGTTAAGTTCCTATTGCTGTGATTGACTAGTTTTTCTAAATATTGCATCAAGCAGGATAATTACTAATTTTATGTTTGATATGCAGGTGCTGAATTGGTGCTGAATTTCTAAGTCAAGGTTGATGAGGTCCCTTGGAAAAATATCTTTACACAAAAACCTGTGATACCCCACAAAACACAAAATGGGATATTTTTGCTAAATCCCCATGGAGCTGGTAATTTTGCTATATTTTTTTTTCACACGGGCAATGCTTTCAAAGATAATTAGGTATAAACAAGTATAATATCCTTCCTAGTTGGTATGTGTTGCTGACTCAGAAAAAACAAAATTATAGCCTCTTTGCTGAGTGACTTAAGTAGAAGTTGATAGTGGCTAACAGAAAAAGAGAATAAAATGTTGATTTTTAAAGGTGATAATCATGCAAATATTTTCCCTGGGGGATGGATTAAACAAATGGTGCAGATGAGTGCAGTCAAATGTAAAATGGCAAGGGCACGCTACACATGGAAGCACAGATACCTTGTGCAACAATAGTTCTCATGAACGAAACTAATGCCTGGCTACCCCAAACCATTCCCAGCCATTTTCTTCTTTCCTATGTCTCACAAACAGAATTGAGAGGGGTCACGTGACGATGTACTGGGCAATAAGCAACATGAGCTATCTTGGATAGGAAATCCTAGTAGAACTCTGTTTTTGTTAAGTAGAAAGACTGTTGCTTCCTTTCTCTTTTATATACTCACTGGCCATGGGGATATGAGACATAGAGGAAGAACAGCCATCTTGTCACCATTATATAAAACAATGAAAATTCAGAGAAGCAAAGATACAGATACTTATTGATGTATAGCAGAACCAATCCCGCTAACTCTGGAACACTGCTTGCTAAAATCACTAGATTTCTTACTCCTTGCTAAGAGCTTTGCTGTCTGACAAAACACTAAAAGAATTGTTAAGATGTAAGAAGTGTGTGCTGTGATTGCAGTGATGTTTATCTCTCCACTCCTCAGTGTAATCTGCAAATAAGGGAAGCACTCATTCTGCACAGCCAAGACTAGCTCTTCTTGACAGGCTCTCTCCAAGGGACATCTGGAGGCATAAACTTGACTTGACAGGCCTTAACATATATGACAGGATGCTTGAAATCTGGTGGGGCCTCTGGGGAAGTGCACATGGGAGGAGGGTCTAAATATGATTGAAATGTTCTATATGAAATGCATAAAAATCTGAATAGATTTGATCCTTTTTCCTCCCTCAGACCTAGAATCTAATAATCAAATCTCTTTGATTTGACATAATTTTTTAGGAGCCAGTCTCACTACATACCCCCAAGCTGGCCTCAAACTCACATTCCTGCCACAGTCTCCCCAGCCTGGGGTTATAGGCACACTCTATGGCCCTAGGCTTCTGTATAATTTTAAATTTTATTTATTTATTTATATATATATTTATTTATTTACCCTGGAACTGGAGTTAGAGATGGTTGTTAGCAGCCATGTCTGTGCTGGGAACTTAACCTGGGTCCTCTGCAAGATCACCCAGTGCTCTTAACTGCTGAATCATATCCCCAGCCCTCTGAATCATTTTAAGTCTCTACTTTGCCCCATTTCTCTCTATGATCTCTTTCTTCTTTGCCAGTACCACCATGTCGTTGTCTACTGCCCAGAATTTAATGTGGCTTCTTTCTCATTCCATCTTATATATCCCTCCGTTATGTTCTCCTCCTAGTGTGAGAGTTATTTTTTAAAAACACATAACTGATCATGCCGGTAACTTGTTCAGAAACTTTCAATGAATTTCAAGCATTCTTGGGAATGGTGATTTTAGTTTCACATCGTCCAAACCTTGCCTTCATGTCCAGTCACTGGACACAATGACAGACACCTGTAATCCCAGTGCTTGGGAGGCTGTGACAAGATCTTGCCCTTGAGGACAGCTTGTGTGACAAAGTGAGATTCTAGCCTAAAAAAGTTCTAGCCTCATTTTCCTAAACGATAGGAACCTTTTCTTTTTATGTCATTTTTAGATCTACAATATTCAGCAAAGTGCTAAATAGATATGGAAGTGCTCAAAATGTAACTTGTGAACTGTGTTATCAAATTTTCCTTTATATTTTAGTTTCTGATTTACTTATAAGAACATTGAAGGCAAGGAAGCGTCAGAAATATTTCTTCATAACGTATAGCAGAATGCCTTGCATGAAGCAGGGATCAAGAGGGATTTTGTTGATATTGATAATTCACTTTTATTCCTTTTAAAAAGTTGAAATTTATTCTCTTTCACAATGGCTAGATTATAACTGTGCTACAGTATTAGAAATGAGAAAAAGGAAATATATTACTATTTTGTCAAAAAATTGGAACACATAGGGAATGTGTTGGATCACAATCCTATTAAGTTGGACAGATTTGTAGTAAGGAGTTTCTGCATATGTGGAAATCACTGCAGTAAACTGGAAGAAGTCAGACAAATGCTCATATATTCTATTCACACTGCCGTATTTTCAACTGTGATATAATTTGTATTTTTAAAATAGATACCAAATTCAATACTTTTGATACCTAACAGCTGAAGCTTTTCTGAGTAGAACTGATTAGTTTGGAAAATTGTTGCCCCAGATACAAATGAGCTGCTAGACACTGAATATTTATATGAAAAGAGCAAAGAAACTTCTGGATTCAAAGGCAGAGATTCAAAAATCGGTATGGTACGCCATCTGATTTCATATACAGGCATCACTCATAGGAACTATCACTCTAAGCAGCCTAACATGAGGACTCACAGAGGGAAGCTGACAAGCAGCGAAATCCTGCTGCTGGGGAGATAGATGCACGCTAAACAGAAGGACGGTACCATCCTTGTGTTTCCAGGGCTCCTGAATGTATTCAGCATGACTAGATGTCTTCCAAACAGGAGGAAGGTAGGCAGAATGAGGAATAGAGAGAAGCCGGGGAGTAGAAGAGTGGACAGTGAAAACTCTGTAATTGAACAAAAGTTGTGGACAGGCTTATCTTACAGTCTGAAAAAAACCTCAACGTTTGCCTAAGGCAGATTTATTCAGGAAGTTACTAACTGCTTTGAATTTCCATAGATTGTTCTTCAGTCACAAGTACTTTCTGGATATTATGGAGTATCACATCTATTGAGGAGTTGGAAGGAAGGAAAGAAGGAGGGAGGGAGGGAGAGAGGGAAGGGACTCTTCATGGGATGCAGTTTGAGAATAACTACAAAGAGTGCTTGTGAAATAAAAAAATCAAGCAGCAACCTCGTTTATGCTTTAAGGATATTTTAGGAAGTTAGTGAATCATGATTTTATCCTCAACTGTTTTTCAACAAAATTAATTCTACTGGGGTATTAGTCATGCTTTTGCTTTCCCCGGAGCTTAGACACCAAGGGGTAGGCTGAGTCTGTACTATTTATTTTTCCTTATATATGTATATTTATACATTCTATAGATAAATGAGCTTAACTGAATGATACAAGAATAAAGTTTTATGCTCTGCCTCTTTACATACGTTTCTTCTGGAGTAAAACTGGTTTTTAACTGCAAAATATTTCACTCGCCAAACCTTTAATTTTTATTTGCTTATTAAATTCTGACTTTATTGACAAAACTGAGTCTGTTCTTCTATATCAAAAATTGACACATTTGCTATAATTATAGCATAAGCCATTGTATTTCTTTCAAAATTGATTCCCTTAAGAGTAAGACACTTCCCACTGACACATACTTCTCAGCACTGGTGACTTCTGGTTCAGAAACACTGTTCACCCTCTGACAGCTTCCACTAGCAAAAAGTAAAATTCTCCCTCATAATTTTGAAAACTTTCCAAGGAGGCAATAAAGATAAAATTATGGTAAATAAGTAAAAACTACATACCTATAATTACCCCTATATCATCTATTTTATGTGATTTTTCTCAATCATCAGGAGACCCAGGGATCTGGGAACTCCTAATATTTCCTTGAGGAGATCTGAGAACAAAGTCCTTACAAGGATGCAAGAGTGAACCAGAGAAGCCCAGATAGCCTGACAGTAGGGAGGGAAATGGCTAGACAAGAGCTCTAGTTAATTCTTTTTCATCCTCATTTTTTATTAGTTCTTTGAGAATTTCATATAAGAACCCATCTCTCACAAAAGCCATCCTCAGACAGCAACTGCAAGTCATATGGAATGCAGTTAGACCAACAGGGACTTTGTAAATGGAAAGGAGATCGGGAATGCTGCTGAAACCCATGGAAATGACTACTCAAGTCTCCCTCTGTCTGGATGGCTCATCTCCCCCATCCATGTTTACTGATAGTGACTGCCAAGCCATGGAATGCTGGTGTTTGGGAAATCGTCTTGTGCAGGAGTGGTACCTGTTCATGAACTGACATTGCAGTTCAGGGATGCCAGTCCCTAGCGAGTGTAACTAGAATGAGACCACTCCCTGCAAACTCTCAGGACAGTCATGTGTAAATCCCCATCCCGTCACATGGCAGCTTCCACAAGGACAGACCTGTCACACTGTTCTTATAGACAGCCTTCTGGTCTGCTCCATCCAACGCGCTGACATTCTTTGCTCTCTGGTTTTGCTACTGACCTTTTCCCTGTTCTTTAAAAAAAGTGGTGACTAATGTCCATGCCACTTAGGCCTGTCTCTATTCTTTTCAGTATAGTGCAAGCCACACACAGCTCACAGCAGATAACATTCATTTATATAGACAGTTCCACTGTCAATTTAGGCATATGAGACTTTATTGAACACATGTAATAGATTGAAAACTGTGAATGC